TTATATCGCGGCTACCCGCTCGCAACGGTTCCTTACATGCGCTCCGAGCGTGCATGACAAACGGTCCTCGATTCCATTTCACGAGTTTTTTTCTCCTCCGTTCTCCGGGTTTACATTGCGGGCGATACTTTACACGAACCGTTTTATCATCCGAGGTTCATCTATTGCTTACACGCTCGATCCTACCCAACGCTCGACTACGACTTAATTCTCGAAAGAATTCCTCGGCCATCTAACGTCGCGAGAGCATCTCTTCGTTGCATATAAACCGGCTTTCAAATATTTCACAATTTTCATGGAGTCTCGAAAATTTATTTCTGTTCCTGCTTCTTCCCGTTCGATTTTATGCCGCCTAAATCTCGGCACTCGCCACCCCGGCTCGTTTCGAGGCGGTAGGTGGACAGATGGTCCAGTCCCGTGGGTCTCGCGCACGCACCACGGACCACGGATAACCGAAGCCGGCCATCAACTTTGCTCGCGCGGCACGTTGTCCGTAAACGGAATTTTCTTGGAGCTTTCGCAGAGCTACGGGAACGGACAACACACATACCGTGTGCCGGTGCCGCGCGCCGAGGCCAAGAAATAAAACGCTCCACGTTTCTCGGTTTTTATCGTCCCGTCCACTATGGCCGCTCGAGCGTGTCCAGAATTCAGCCCCGCGAGCGTAAGTCCCTGGAAGGTGTCAGGAATCGAGGATGGAATAAGTCCAGCCTTACGTTCGAATTATTATCCCTTCCTGCATCATGTACATTCGCTCTCTCTAGCTTCAGTCTTTACCATTCTTTAATAAATAATTCAATGTTGTACACGTTTGAAACCGTGATTAACGACCGGCCGGGTCTTTGACAAAATCCGAGGGGAACAAGATTCACGTTCGACGTTGCTGCCCACTCTGTCAGGAGGATCACGCGCGCATCTCTGGTCAATTACTGGCCGTAACGTCTGCGGACGTGGCGCTCGCAGAATAAAGCAGAGAGGGTCGTGATATAATTACAATAATTAATCCGGAGCGGGCTTTGTCAGAGTCGCGGCAGGTCGAATTCTGTCGAGTCGTCCTCGCAGGCCGTTTCTCTCCTTCCGGCTCGAAGTCCCATCGACCCGTTCCACCGTTCCTCGGGGACACGCACCACGCGCCGAATGTTCGTCTGGCTGGCCAACTTTACTACGACCATTATGCGAATATGCCTAATGCAGTAGAACTTTCCGTAGCCGAATTAATAGTCGGGCATACAGTAAGGAGCAAAATTTGTACCGATAAAACAGTCCCGGCGAATTCAAGTAAAATATCAGACAGAAGTGTTTTTAGTGAATCACTTTTATTAAAATATATTTAGATACATTTACATTTTTATGATTAGTTTCCATTTTTCAAAACCCACTGTACGGTATTAAAAACTGTACCTGTCATTCAATTAGCTACTTTATAATCCTCTGTTCTTTTGTCTTCGAGTGTACAAGGGGGATAGCGAGCTCGAGGGACTGTAAAGCCGAGGGACAACCCCCGAATTCGAGTTCGTTCACACCGGGCTCGCCAGATAACGGACTGGCATGGCGGGGCGATAATATTCGGGGATCGAGCGTAAAACTTTGCCCCGGGAAAAGAGATAATTGGCCCCTCAGAAATTCTCCTGGACGCCCGACGTCGTTGCCGTCGACGTCTGCGTCTGTCCACGTCCCCGACGTCGCAGCCGTCGCGTCGTTTTCCTTCGCCACTTTCACGTTTCATACGATTTCCCCCGGCTGCCCCGGCGCGTAATAAAAACGTTAAGAACGAAACCACGCAACCATCAGGCTAACAACATTATGAATACTTCCAATTGCAGTTAGTGAGTTGTACACGTGAAGTATCGGGGATAAAAAGTGCAGTTTTTCGACCGGCTGTAATATGTATCTGTCTTGAGATCTCTTATAACCGCATAAAGTGTCCCTATCAGATTCGACACGAGCCGCATGCAAATCCGTTTCACACTGTATTTTTAAAAGCGGCGTACGCGAAAAATAATGGTTTCGGCATTAATGCCTCGATGTTCATCAGTGGGCTGCGCCTTAATAAATCACCGTCTGCAAACTGCCGATTTCGTAGCAGTCACGCATATTTTTATCAACGTCCACCTACACCGCAAATCGGAGAAACGTCAAATGGATTTTATGAAACGTTTCAACTGGAATTAATCGCTAGCCTTTTCTGATCGGGCTCCGGTCAAGAATTCGTTAATTTACGTCTTTGTCCGGCGAGAAGAGTAATGCCGTAATGCCTCGACAAGTGAAGCGTGAGGAGGAAGAAGAGAAGGAGATGAAGCAAGGGGACAGGAGGGTGGATCGCCGCTCGGTTTGGAACACGGAACCCGAGGGGGGTGGATGGTGGTTGTGAAGGGATGGCGACGGGTCGTTGCCCGAAAACGCGGCTCTGTTATTGTCTCCCTACTCCCTTTTCCGTTGCCCCCGACTTCGACTTCGATACGCGCGCACACACGCCACCCGAAACGGCGTACGCACACGCGGCTGAAGATCCTGCACGCACGCCGAATCGAAATTACAGGCAAGCGAGGAACAGGGAGAAATAAATAAAGAACGTGTTTTCAATCAGTAACAGGATAACAATTATCCTGCAAGTCGGTAGATTAACAGGTCGGGAACAAAAGGAGTGTCGAAACGGACGTGAAGAGCGCAACGAGGTTAAAGCGCGAAGCTAAATAAAGCAAACCAGCCGTCGGCTACTTTAAAAGCGCATAAAAAGGTTCACGCGGCAGACGAGGGACAATAAACTGATTTATTAGAGGACGTTCCCACTCGATGCCGTGTAGATGGAGGGTAGCGGGTCTGTTTCGCGCCGGGAATAAGACCGAACGTACAGCGGTGTTTCATGGAATAAAATGGTGAATAAAAGGGGACGGTGGCAGTTGTGATAAGGTAGGCAAAATGCAACGAGCCGTGAAGGGGCGAAGGGCGAAAGCCCGGGCATGTCTGTCCGACGGAAAGAAGATTTGTCCGAACAGCAGAAACCACTGACGTAGGAATTACATTCGTAATAAAAAGATAACACCTTACATCACTAATATAATTGTACATATTTTATTTATTATAAAAAAGTAAGACGAGAAATCACGTCGTCTGCGCGCTTATGATTTTTATTTTGCTCTTCGGAGGATCTAAGATTTCAATGGACGTTAGAATATTCCGGTGGTACAAAAATGTTTAATAGTTTTTGTCAGACACTGTACGGTGGTTCACGGAGGCCCGATGCGAAGTCGGTAATGCAGCACTTTGCATTGTTGGCGGGTGCGGGTGGCAAGCGGCAACGTTTACTACCGTCGACGTGTCAATCCGTCCCGGGGTTTTACGAGCACTGCGTAAATTCCACGGCCTTGTGCCCGCGCGCAACGGCCGTCGTACCCCGCGGACGGCCAACATTGGCCCAGGCGCCCGTGCACCGTCAACGACAACAAATGCATTAGACTTTATGGCGGCTGGCTCGTTAACTCGCCTCATCCTCCTCGCCGTACACCGGGAAACGTGCACGCCACCCGGGCTGGAAATGTCCAGACTTTGGCTAGACGTGACTCCCTCCCGTTTGCCCATCGCCGTACCTGGATCCAATCGCAGGCATCCGTCGCTTCGGATCTCTCTAATTCGTCGCGAGCTTTTCGCCGCTACTGAAAACCAGCCGAAACGGGTAAAGTGCACGTACACATCCGATGCCCGGGCGTTCTCCTTAATCAGACGCGTGGCCTCCATTGTCTTCCTACTGCAATTAATTCCGGATCGGTCGACTAATCAGCCCCTCCCGACGACATCCTAGTCGACTCTAATTCTGAATCGATTCAGAGACAAAACGTGAAATAACAAAAATTATTTACCCAAACGAATAAGTAAATATGCGAGGGAAAAAGTTGAAACTCCCTCGCCCGGAGTGAGAATACATCAAGTCCGGGCTCGTAGATTCTGCCGAGTTTCCAAACAATTTAGCGCAAGAAGGTGCAACAATGACCGGATCGCTTAGCCGGCGTGAAGTATGCTTAAATCGGCAGGACAGTGGTGTTTCGTTCGAAAATGGCAAAAAGCGTAGTGGCACCTCGGCTGCCGTTGCCGTCGGTACGGAAAAACGAGCCGGGAAGTAGGTTCCGTCGCGTCCCCGGAAATTGTTCGACTCCCTCAAAGTGGCGGATGCGCCGGGAAAAACTCGACAGAAGCGGGCCAGATATAGAGAACACTCTGTGATTAGGCGGCAAGAAAAATGCGGGCCGACATTAATAGACCCCTCTTTAAGAATCTCCGAGATACCTTTCGCGTTTCTCTCTTAGTTTTTTTCTTAGTCCTGACAAATGACGAGTCTAGCCCTGTCATTGCAATTCTCTAATCGATACATTATTCTCTGTCTCGACTGTTGTCGCGACTTTCTAATAGCGCGCATATTCGCCTATTCGAAATATCAAAAGTAAAGTTCATTATTACATTATCCGCGTTAATGATTAACGTGTCGTGGTAGCGGACGGTTTCACGATTGGACGCGTCATTTAATAATCATTCTTTCCGTATCTGATTTAAATAACGGGCAAGCGTCTGGAGCAGAGAGCGGAGTATGTAACTCACGTTCGCGTATTTCTTCCAGCCACGTGTACGTAGCCGTACTTACGTCCAGCGTGTGAGATAAGATAGCCCGTGGTAACTACGCTCGGTCAGGGGGTAGCAGGGGGGTGTATAATTGCAGAGGGCAAATGGAGAGAGAAGTGCAGCACGCGTGTAGGTAGGGAACGTTGCGCGCGGCGCGCACGTAATGGTACGTGTACGTGTGTTTGCGAGGGCGAAAGAAAGATGCGCGGAGATGTTCTCGCCGGGTCAGCACAGGGTCACGCTTGGAATCCAGAGCAAACTATCCCCTCCTTCGTTTTCCCTCCCATACCTCCGTCCCTGTTTCCTCTAAGTTCCTCTTGTTTGACCGCTTGCTTGCCTACCTACCTACCTACCTACCTACCTACCTACCTACCTACCCATCTACCTACCTGACTGCCCGCTCCACCGCTCGTCTCCTTCTTCTTCTTCTTCTTCTTCTTCATCTACTTCTTCCCCTCCTCCGACTCCGTCTTCATTCGTGATCCTCTTTTTCCTCGGTGCCAAGTAAGAAGCCTATATATACCGTCAGCTCTTCGTGTATCCCTCCGCTCCTCCCATCCACCGCTTCATCTTGTTCTATCGGTGGGGATCAGGCAAAACGCGTTCGTCTCTTTCTCCTTTGGCGATACCGTGAAATTGCCACGTGAAATTCGCGTCTTCCGCGTCATTGCGAACCGATACTCCTCCACCTCGTTCCTCTACCTATGAGAAAGGTACTACTCGCGGACGTGAATCGATCTCCGGGGGGACGTAGCTGACGATGGTTCCACGGTTGTCACTGGTAAATAGCTAGGATCGATCCCCCGATTATCCGATACGCTCGATTTGTTTTCACCAGTTGTTGGCCCGTGAGAATATCTGTAATCAAAAATTATACACGATACAGAAACATAACGTCGACGTCGAAACTGTCGAAACAAGTACAAGTCTACAGAATTTCGTACATTCAATTCGCTGACAGAACTCCAAACGAGGAAGAATGTACGAAATTTGGGTAAGGGATGTTTCGATCATCGAATAAAAGGGGTGCTCGTGAGAACGTCGCGGGTTAACAAGCGGTATGGGAAACGGCGGAGACCATCCGAGGCACGGCGTGTGTAATCAGTTTCTTACGCATACGTAATCAGAATTCGCGTGTAGACCCCGCAGTTTTCTGCTGGTTATACGGTACGCACTTAAGAGGCGCGCTCGCGTGCTGTCGCTTATAAGGTAAATCGCTTTGTCGAAGTTGCCTTTATAGGCAGCCAGATTTTTTCGGTTTCTCGCCTATAGTAACCATACCTTGCCGGGCAATCGAGGTGGGAAAATACGTGAGAGCACTATCAGGATATATTCCAACGTAACGCTGGAACTCATCGTTGCTAAATGCAAATAATTTCATTCTACCCTTGACCGTATCGGTCACTGCAATCGGTTATTAGTTCGTATTGAAAAATGTATTGTTTTACTTTATAAAGGCATTAGATATTAACTCCGTGCAGTCGCGGAGATAAAAGTAGGGACGCATTTCCATTTCCATGATTGGACCAACGCAACGCGACGAGGAATTGGCGGGCCGTGTGTGTATGCACCGCGACAGATGGAGATCCGTGATTCGCCGCGTGTGTAACGGAGGTACGAGAAAGAACGAGGAAAACGAGACCAGCGATCGCAGCCGAGGGAGAGAGACACCGGGAGGGTAAAAGGTAGAGCGGAGTAGACTCTGTTCGCAGCGACCGGATGGGAGGTCGCCGCGTGTTAGGGACGCGCCGCGTGTCAATTAAGTGGCTCTGACCGGTGAGATACGGGAACTCCTTTCCATACGGATATGCATACGCTCGTTCCGAATCCGCTTCGGTTATCGCTTCACGTACACTATCGTCCACAAGTATTTCGACTCATCCACGGTCAATAAAAAAATCGTATAAATCAGACAAAAGTTCGTCGACACACGTAGACGTATACATCGTGAAATATTTGAAAATGATTCTATTAAAGTATTTTCCAAGTTTTCACTTGATTTCGTATAAATTAAACGAGGAATAAAATCTGGGCTCAATTCGTTAATAATTATCAATCTAAATATTTAGTCTGATTTTGTAAAAACGTATAAAGGCATCGTCGGATACTCGAAAGCGTCGAGGCACTTATGGAGAGTAGTGTACGCGCGGACTGTTTCACTCGCAACAGTGTGCACCGGGGGACTGATGTCTGACACCGGGCTGTTGATTTGTTTCGCTTTGAGCAAGCATCCAACCAACGAGACCACCTACGTCCTTACTGCTACGCGGTAGCCGTGCCGTTTTTCAAGCGAAATGTAGATTCGGTTTTTGTGCCGTGCGAAAGTCGTTATAAGGTGGTAGCAGCTAACACTCGTTTAACATACCGACTGCGAGAGCACGGTTTTGATGCAACACGGTCCGAGAATTACGAGGATACCCGTGGAAAATGGAAACAGTTCTCCGACCTTTGTTCCGTCGGATCTCAATATTTAGAATGAAAAACAGTTGGCATAATCAAACGACGAAATCTGATGAAAGCTCGCGACGTGTCATGGACGCTTGGAGAATCTGTTGTCAGCATCGCGTGCGTACGGCAGGAAGCGATGGTCAGGCAACGGGTGCGCGGCGTGAAACCGCGTTATTGCTGAACTTTTACGGGTTGAATATTCACGAGGCATTACGGTCTCGCGGCGGGAAAAGAAGGCCCGTGTAACGAAGCGCTAATGGACAGCGCCAGGTTTACTACGACCGAGCGTCAAAGTCCAAACATTAAATATGCCGTGGACGATTTTTAAGGATGCGTTACGGAACCCGGGCTTACACCGTTAATGGAAGGATAAGAGGAACGCCGGCGAAGGGGTTGAGGGGCGGATTTGAAGGATGCGAGAGGACACGAGTATGAAAAGGGTGAAAGGGTCGAGGACCGGAAGTTCACGAGTAGGGTTGATGCGAGCGCGGGGTACCCCAGAGGGTGAAGAGCGGTTTAACGCGTTTCCGCGGTAGAGCGGTTTAACGCGCACATACCGCAGCGTACGTGTCTGTGTTAGTTGGACAGGCCGATGTTCGCGTACTCCATGTGTGACAACATAGGCATACGCCACGTGTGTTTCACGACGAAGTTTTAACGATTAATTAAACGCGTGTTATTTATTCATTCGTTGAAACAGAACAATATTCAGTGTCAGGTAATCGTGACGTCAAACGAAATGCTAAACGTCGACCCAATGCCATTTTACATTAAGACCATCGGCCGTCTTCGGGTGAAAAGTTTAATTTGATACAAGTACGACAAGCATTCTCGAATGATACAACGGCTGTGTGCGAGAACGTAGGTACGGCATAACGAGGGAGGTCGGTTTCGGAGTCCGGGATCCGGCAACGAATCATTCCCATAATCAGCAGATAAGGAAACGGCAGGCAGAGCGTGCAACAAAAGGCTATGTAAACGGTAATCTACATCCACGTAGAAAAGGTCGAGCGCAGCGCAAAACCATCCGCCCCTGGAGGCGTGTAGGGTACAAGAGGCTCGAGCCCGGTGTGCACGATCTATCCTCTATCCGTGCGTGTTCGTGACTCGGGTCGGGCCTAGCTCGGGCCCGGCCAGGCTCCGCTCTCTTCCATCTACGTATGCACGTCTCCGGCCGGGGCAGAGAGTAGAGAGAGCATCGGGCGCCAACACCGAGGAACGCTAACAGCATCCGATCCTGGTGCTCCTTCGTCTTCGATCCTGCGGCCCTAAGGAGCAGTCACGGAGCAACCCTTCCTGTAGCGGGCGTTAGAATGCCCAAGGGGAGACGAGCGAGGTTGTAAAGGAGGGCGAGGATGGCATCGGACGGCCGCAGAGACGGGCGAGGGGGCCGGGGACGAGCGGATAGGGCAAGTGGCGAAGAGGTGGGTAAGAGGGTCGACGGTTTGGAAAGAGGAGGGCCAGGAGGGAGGCAAAGACTCTCCGCAGGTCGATACCATCGCTAAGAGCCACCAGGTTCAAGTCTCCCGCTGCTTCTATGCACCAGCGAGAAGGACAGGGATCGAGAGGACGAAACGGGCAGAGTGGGCGAGAAGGACCAAAGCCGATGAACGTGGAGAGAGCAAGACAGAGGGAGAGGGAGACGGGGATCAAGGAGAAACGGAAAGGTTAAGGATGGTTAGTGGGACGAGGATGGGAACAGGAGGCTTCCCCGTAATTATTCAGCAAGGAGGACCCGCGGGTCAACTCGGGTTATCTTAGCGCTAGGATGCAGGGTTATCTACCCTGCTTTACTCTGGTTCCTCCCCGTTCAAGAACCACGAAGCGGAGAGGGTCCTTCCCTCTTCGCCTCGTAAACATTACCTGCTTTGCGTCTACCACGCTCTCTACGTATGAACGTACACAAGTATACCTGTGTGCACCTGTGCATACAGAGGCGGGGCTGTGGTGCACACTATCCGATACGGTCGACCGCCGAAAAGACACGGTTTCAGAGTTGAATAGTGACAGAAGCGTCGTTGCAGTTTCCTGTTGATTCCGATTCGCGTGAATAGCGACGCTTCTGTTATTCAGGAACCAGATACAAATTCTCATACCGGAATTAACAGGGAGAAAATCATTGGTTCCAAGAATCGCGTAATAATAAAATATTCTACGAAGACGAAAATCATCGGATTCGATGGTTCAATAAAGAAAGACGACAAATTATTGATTCGCGAAGATCGGTAGTACCTCGAAATTTACATTTTTCACAACGCGCTCGGTTACAAATATCGGTGCGTTTGCAACATTGACGAGGTTTCGCGCGTTCCGATGCACATGTGCGAGCTACACGGACAGAAACACACACACATGCGTGTCCAGGCTCACGGAGAACGTGCAAGGCCTCGTATACGTGACAGGCATATGGTCTCGAGCGTGCAAACGCAGTTGGACGCCCGGTACGACCGCGACAATTGCGGGCTACGCGCCCGCGGACGTGTCCTATTTGGCCGTTCGGCAGTTCCCGAGGATCCGAAGACGAAGAGTATTACGTGGCTTTATGGGGGACAGGGGGGGTCGGTGCAAAGGACAGAGGCACAGGCGAGGGGGAGCGCCGAGGCAAGGATCCGACACGTATACGCCACGATAGACGGCACGTAGACTCTCTATGCAGAGACTCCAGCTGTGCCATGTGCGTCGTTTGCCGCAAACGTGACGCTGCTCGTCATACGGCTCGGCTCCAAGAAGATGCGAATGCATTTTTTTATAAATCCTGCTTAAGGTGAATCGTCGCTGTGCCAACGCCCTCCACCCTCCGCGTGAGGATCTCCGCATCGCAAAATTTCCCAAAGGCTTGTTAACGAGAAATTGGAAAACTTTCGACTGTACGTCAGACCTCTTTCTCACGCGTCTCCCGCGATCAAAGTGCCTCGACCCTTTCGTTTTTTTTGTATATATTTATCGAACAAAAGAACAATCTGCTTCGGCTAGCGGAAGAGAAAAGGATCACTGCCTATTATACATAATTTAGATACTAGAGGATGTACAAGTCGCGTTTCTTGCTACGTGCGATATCCCAACCAGTTTTTTGAGAAAACTCGACTTGGAAGGTCGCGATCTCTCCGAACCGGGGGATTGGTATCCCGCTGTTGCAGCACGCTCGAGAAGGTGTCTCGTATCTATGTCCATCGCTAAACAGCCCGAGCGTGAAATCAGACCAGTGATCGCCGTCTCTCTTCTCCTTCGCCCTTTCCCGAACCATTTCTCTTCTTTCCCGCTTTCTTTCCACTAACCGTACCCTTTCGTCCGGGTCACCCTCTTTAATTTTCACTGGAAACCCAAAACGACTGGCATTATCCGTACGGAGGGAGATTCTAAACGTGATCACGGTCGAAAGTCGTATTTCAGGGGCCAAATCTCCTTGAGCC